CCGCCACCCCAAGATTGGCCGCCCCTTACCAGGTGCCGCCCCAAGCATGTGCTTGGTTGCCTGGTGCCTGGAGCCGGCCCTGCATCTAGTCCAACCCCCTGCTCAAAGCAGGACCAATCCCCAGACAGATTTTTGCCCCAGATCCCTAATTGGCCTCAAGGATTGAACTCACAACCCTGGGTTTAGCAGGCCAATGCTCAAACCACTGAGCCTCACAGCCCAAGCCCCATGAGCCCAAGTCTGCTGGCACAGGCTAGGTGCAGTTGTCTAATTGCAGTGTAGACATACCCCTAGTCACAATGACTGTTACCGGTACAACTAGTGTTCATAAAACCAAATGGTATTCATAATTGGACAAAGATATAGTCCCCAAATTGTCACACATCACATACAAAATTTAAAAACCCAACCCACCAGCTATAATGTTTCATATGAAAATTACAGCTCTGCAGCCATCCAGTGCTAGGATGGTAAATGACTACTAGACATATTGAATACAGCCCAGCTGTGGTGACATTCACTAACAAAAGATACCTTGAAAGAGGATTAAGGTCCATTCTGAAGCTATGACAAGCAAGACAATTCACCGTTAAAGCTGATATCTGATATCTTCCCTAATGAATTCTCTTTAGTAAGTAATTAATGTTGATGCCCTGTCAACAACAGGTGGAGAAATATGGGATAGGGATGCCAGTATATAAACTATCTAGCATCTGGGATAGGTGTTTGCAGTCTAATTGAAATAATATCGTGGCCCAGATTTTCTAAAACTGGACTCTGTTTGCACTCATAATGATTTGTGCCTCTATTTTGAGGGGTGCACAAAAGGGAGGCTGAGTGGAAGGGCAGACTGAAAATTTGATTCTCTGTCCTTTAGAGGTGAAAAACAGAATGATAGTTAATTTCTGTATACAGAGGAGAAGCCCCTCTAAGAAGGTGGGGGCATACAAGGAAGGCAATATGACAACTGGAGACATAAATGGCATATTTTATTACGGTCATCAAATATTCAAGCTGCATTAAACTCAGAGATTTCAGTTCACAGTGGCTGTGATGAGCTCTTTGTGTGTGTGTGTGTGTGTGTGTGTGTGTGTGTGTGTGTGAGTTCATGTGAGTTTGCACTGCTTACATTTCACCTTGAGACACAGAGGTGAGAAAGCTCAAATTGAGACTCAGCTGAGAGCACTCTCAGAAGTTCAAAGGGCAGCCTTTCAGAAATGCCAGTCAGTGCTTGAGACAGCAGAGTAGCCTACTAGTGCTCTCAATGCATGACATTAACACGTGAACTTGCACTGCTTTTGCAGTTGTCTTATTCTGAGCATTTACTTCAAGCACAGATTTAGAACAGTGTTGCACATGGCTGGGTTGTCTTTCAAAGAATTCTACTAAAAGCACAGGGCCTGATCCAATGCCCAATGGAGCCAGGGGGAGTCTTTCATTGACTTCAGCAATCACTAAAGCAGGCCCATGATGAAGCAGATTCATAATTAATTTTCAGCTATCCTGCTGGAGCATCTATTTTCCAGGACAAAGACAATTTTTGCAAACCTACAAATAAAGCACCATTGGGAGATCTTCCCCATTTTTTTTTTTAAAGTGTGTAGTTTTTTGAAAATTTTTACTGTTTTTATTTCTTTTTCCAAAATGACAAACCTTTAACTTGATTTTTTTGATCATTGACAAATTTTAACCAGTGCTTATAGCTGGTGAGGAAAAAACCTGAACATTTTTGGGGCTATTTTGGGGGTGGGTGGCAGGGTTGAGGATGGGGGAGGGGTCAAAACGTGCATTTTTAATTAAAATTTTAAAAATCTCAATATTCAGAACACATTGGCCTGTTCTATTACAATTATTATTATTGCCGTATCTAGTGGCCTGGTGAGCAAGAGGTTTGAGGTCAACCATGGAGTAAAGGCCATGTTTTTGATTTAAGGATGTTGCTAAAAGTCATTCTTCAGTTGTTGTTTAGGGAACTTTAATCTTTCTCTCGTTTTTTCTTCAGGGTCCTAATACGTGATGTACAAGAACAGCTGGATAGTAGCATGCCAAGTCACTGGAGGGTTCCAGAGGGCTATTCCTACACTGTATATCATCCAATGGAAGAGGTAAGAAGGAAACCAAGTCTATCATTTAGGTGTTACTCCTGCAATGAGTTCTATGCGAACGCTCCTGTGTTTGCAGAGAGCTCCATAGAAGTTAGTGTGACTTAGCCATCTGCCTGCTTGGAGCTCATTGCAAGATCCGGCTTCCTTCAAGTCTGCATGAAATCCTAGCCTGTTGAATTTAATGGGAGTTTTGTCCTTGACTTCAGTCGAGGCAGAATTTCACCCTTTGTTTCTTAATCTCCATAACGTAAATGCTCTGTGTGAAGAATTCATGCATTTAGCTATAGTCCTTCTGTGGACTCTTTTTATCCTTGTTGAACATGATCTATTCCCTCACAGGTAGGCTTCAACCCATTGTTTGCTGCTTTTAGTCCATATTTTGAGTATTTGAATATCCAGTTATTATGCCTCTTCACTGTTATTTATGTAAGCATTGACATTGTGCTCAGCACTGACCAAGACATGAAACGATGACCATCCCAGTAAGCTTATAACATAACAAATAGAAATGGAGAAGATGGGACACCCTGGGAAGGCCAGAGGAAGGAATAACTTTAATTTTTTTTCCACTTTTGGTTGGGTTCCCTTCTATGGAAGAAGTGAGCCTTTAGAAGAGACTTGAATGTGGTGAGAGTGGAGAGCCAAGACAGCTGGACTTTTGTTCTCATTTATATATTTCACAGTCGATTTAGACGACACACACAAAGAGAGAGCTTTGTGGTAATTCCTCTTCTAGGCATATGATGTGTTTACTGTAAGCATTTGTATAGTTTTGCTTTGGGAACTGCTACTGACCTGAAATGTGGAAAAACTAATAATCATCTGACTGATGGATCACCCCAATGATAGTCTTAGGATTTGACTCCATCATCCAAATCTTAGGGAAGTCAACAGAAAGGCTCCTGATGGGGTTGGAGCATTGAATTGGCTCCCGAAGGAGTCCTAGGCAGTGCTCTTTGATGCCCACCTCTGCAATGTATTACTTTGTATTTAATTTGATGTAAGTGAAATGTCTTCCCCCATTATTTGGTCTTGAACAGTGCTAAGTAATATCACAGCCTGAAATATGCTCAGAGGCATATACTGTGTATCTAAGAAACATAAAACATTTGCTATTTGGAAGTGAGGGTGGAGGGGGGGAAGAAGGGAACTCCCTGTTTAGAGCAACAATTCCCCATGACTATTTCAGATTTATCACTGGATGTACCAGATAAAGGAGAGCAACAGTGAACTGGTGACACAGCATTATCTAGGAATGACATATGAGAACCGGCCAATGTATTATCTGAAGGTGAGTGGGGAAAGTGTTGTTAAGATAAATAAAAAAGCATCTCCATAAAATGATGAAGGAAAATGTCAAGGTTCAAACCTTCTCTAAAAAGATTCTTATCCAGGTATGCTGAAATAACAGGAGAGGTTTTAGCTCCTAGACAAAACACTACAGAAGTTTGCTATCTTTTGTATCGACAATTGCCATCAGTCTTTGATACCACTGTTATAGTGTGAAGACATCAGATTTGGCTAAAATCCTGTTTTGAAATATAATATTTAATAAATCTCATTTGGCATTCTATTATTGTTTAGCAGCGTGATTAAAACTGCGATTAATCATGATTAATTTTTTTAATCAAGTTTATTTGTTTTGAGTTAATCACTTGAGTTAACTGCAATTAATTGACAGCCCTCATAATATACCATAGTCAACCTGTGTAACTGTTTGCTATAGTTGTGTGTGGTGGAGGGTTTTTGTTTTTCACTATTCTCTATAATCTGGGACCTTTCTGTCTTGACTATTTCATGACAATCCTTATAAGATCTGTCTCCATTGCTGAGAAAAATTGGTTTATCTTTCTTTCTGCTTTTCCCCTTCCAAAGAAAAGAACCTCAAAATTAGATCAGCCCAGGGAATGATTAATATAAGTGAAGGCAACCATATAAGAATTAGAAGCTGCTTTATGGGTACTCTTTGTTCAACACACACTTTAAGATTCTTGGCCTGGGATGATGCAGAGATTGGGTTATTAGGAAGGAAAGCTGGTCATAATGAAGTCTGTAATAGTAAGCATCTCACATGGCTAAGCATATATCAAGGATCATCCTTCACATACTAGAATATGCTAGGCTCTTTTATTTTAATATAACAGTTTTCCTACTGATCACTTTTACACTCCCCAGATAAGTCAACCATCAAATAAGGCCAAGAAGATTATTTGGATGGACTGTGGGATTCATGCCAGGGAATGGATCTCTCCTGCCTTTTGCCAGTGGTTTGTGAAAGAAGTGAGTCCTTTTCCCATTTCAGTATAAAATTTGCAGATAGTTTGGGTTCCTCAGTTCTCTTCCTCTACTTATAAGAAATTGTTAAGCTATCTCTTTAGAGACAGATTATACTTTGAATTAGTGCGTTACACAATCACATCTGGAGACCCAAGTTCAAACCAGGGCTTGGGAAATAACAAATGAAAGTATTTGGCACATGGCATCCTCAGCTTGGGCCTCTGATACAAAGCCCGTTGAAGTCAGTGAGAAGCCTGCCCTTGAGGTCAGTGTGCTTTGAATCATGCATCACAAAGCCACCATGAAATCTGGAACCATTTTCCATTTCTGATCCCAAAAGTAAAGAGCTAGAAGATTTTGTACATTGGTGTTCCATATGTATAGGATCAGTCTCTCCTACTGTGCTTCTCCCTGTGGTATCTATGCACCTCACAACAATGCAGGATAGTACCAATGTAGACTGCAGTATAAATGTAATCTGATATATTATCACTTTTGAAATGCCTTTGAAGGTGCGGTAGATACCTCGATACATTTGGTGGGCAGGTAGAGTCTCTTCCCAAGGAAGTATTCTAGGATGACCAACCATTCTATGCTAATTCTAAATGAATTCATGTCCAGTGATTGGTTTGTACCAGACGATCTGGTGCTAGTCTTTTGCACTTTTTCTTCTCAGATTTTACAGAATTACAAAACTGACCCAAAGATAAAAAGCTTCCTGCAGAACTTGGACATATATATTCTGCCAGTTCTCAATATCGATGGTTATATCTATTCCTGGACAACAGTAAGTTATGAAAATCCCGTAACTGGATTATAAAGATAGATGTACACTGTATTTATATTCATTTCTGGTACAAAAATGGTATCCAAATGTGAATTTTGCAGCTTCCTTTGCTAGGAAGGGAAGGTAGTTTTTCTGAGGAAAAAATCCGCATCTTTCTAGCACCAAAACTATGCCTGCTAGTTTTCAGCAGTCTGGACTGCAGTTGTTCTTTTAAGAATCCTTCACTTCTCTGCAGGAGTACCTTGGACAGTGTCACATTGTACCACTATCTTTAATGCTACTTTGAGTCTGGAAGCTCCTTCTAATCCTGCATTTTTTCCAAGTAATCTTTACTGGGGCCTCAGCAGATCTTAAATTAACATCTCAAAGTTTTCAAGAGAATCTACTGCCACACCGTACATGATGGGTTTTACTTGTCACCCACAATTTTCCCCCGACAAAAATGTTCTGAGAGCTCAGTGTGGCCTCATGCAACATCTGTCTGCTTCTTGGCTGCCCAGGAGGCTGTTGACTAGAACTCCTACCCAGCTTCTTGAGCAGACTTCAGCATCAAGCACCTTTGCAGTGTAAAGGTGTTCGTTGCTGATCAGCCCCAGTGACTCCCTGGAAGTTGCAGTCAATATTCTCTTTCAGGCTGAAGATCTGCACTGATCGGACAGTTGCCAGGGGATGCTGGCCAAGATACCAGGATCTTCTCTTCTGGGTTAGGGTGGGTTTCCAGACACAAGGGAAGATGGGGAAGGATTTTTTTTCAGAAAACTAAGGTTCACCTCTGTATGCAGTGTAGGTGTCCTGTCCTCCACCAGAAATGTTCAGTTCTTCTACAGTGTTTTTCCCTTGGTCTTGAGCTTAACTGCATGGGGAAAAGAACACAATATGTTACAATCTTCACCCCTCACTTCCTTGTATCCCAACTCATGCTTCAGTAATACCAGGAGGAGAAACGGACAGCCCCATCACTGGCATCTGAGTCACAGCCATTTCCCATTTTCCCATCTCCCCGTTATATCAGCATGGAGATACTGTTGGGACCCTAATGAGGCCCTGTAGACCCATCTGCCTCTATGTGGTACCCATCTGTCTCCCCGTTGAATTGAGTCTGCATTAAGCCTCGTGCCTTCCAAATCGAACATCACCAGATCGGGCAACATCAGGATTTGGAGAGCTCCAATTCTTGTACTCCCTTGCCTGGTTAGTCAGTGGAGAAGTGCACACAGGCAGTGCACAGTGTGAGTTTGAACTCAGCTGCTAAACTGGGCAAGGGGCACTACATGGGGGTGGGAGGCACCGAACTGAAGTGTAATGAGGAGATTGGCTGACAACAACAAAAAAATCATCTGAGTTTATTGAATCTGAGCCACAACCTGGATTCCATTATAATCATTCTTGGACACTGAGGTACTCCCTAAATCTGGGACTGTCTTTTAAGCTGGGACCCCTGCACTAATGTGCCAGGGAAGAAATCCTATGACCTGGCATGATCGACATCTAGAAATGTACCACACACAGTAGTGGCATTGAATGCAAGTGTTACTAGGCATGCAGGGATGTGAACTAAAGGTGTACCTGCTATCGCAGGGGTTCTCAACCTTTTTCTCTCTGAGGCCCCCCTCGACATGATATAAAAACTCCAGGGCCCAATGGGGAAGGGCCGTGTAGTAGTTTGACTACTATTTTGGGCGGTGGGGGGGCAGGGGCCAGCAGGGCCACCTCCCCCCTCCCCGACTCACCTCAGCAGGCCACCCAGCTTGTCTGAGTTGGGGGTGGGGGGCCACAACCAAAAATTATAAGTCAAAGGTGGGGGGCTTAGCTCAAAATGTTTGAAAACAGCTTAGGGTGCAGGGAGAGGGTAGATAGGGGCTGTGTACAGGGAGGGGATTCTCAGGGTGCAGGGAGGGGGTAGCTGGGTCTATGTGTGGGCAGGGGGGTAGCTCAGGGTGTAGGGAGGGGTATTAGGGACTGTGTGCTGGGAGGGTTCCCCTGCGGTCCCTGTTCCCAGAGGGGTCTGCCAGCCACGGAGCCAGGTCTCCCCATCCGGGCAGCTCTTATCGGCTGCCCCTGCGGCAGCAAAGGGGGCTGGGAGCTGAGGAGCAGCTTCAACCCGGGGCACCAGCAGGAGAGGAGGGAATGCTGCTGCTGCCTGCTCCATGGCACTAGCCAGACCAGCAGCTGCCCTGCACTGTCCGGCTTCCCGCCTCTGACCTGGCCAGGGGGCAGGGAGAGGAGATGGGGGGGAGGTGTGGAGCTGCCCCTGGGATTGCCGTGATCTTGCACTGCAGTTTGGGCTGGGGGATGCCCTCCATGTCCTCAACTCTGCCCATGGACTCAGGGCTTCTGCCCCATAGGGAGCACCAGGGTTTGTGGCTCCAGGATTCAGCCCTGCACCTCCCGGCTTCAGGCCTGCAGGGAACGCCGGGGGATGCTGGGGATTGGGGCTTCAGCCCCGCGCCACCTGGCTTCAGCCCCGCAGAGGGCACTGGGGCTCGGGCTCTGGGTTTCAGCTGCAGGGCCCGCGGCCCCCTTGAAAGGGCTCGTGGACCCCCTGTGCTATAGCTATAGTACTTTAATCTCTAATCTCCCAGTACACTGTATTATTACATAACTGAAACCATTTCTGCTCAGGAACGTCTGTGGAGAAAATCCCGCTCTGCACATATAAATGGCACCTGCTTTGGAACAGATCTTAACCGTAACTTCAATGGCTCCTGGGGCAGTAAGTTCCAAGTGTTTCAGATTTTGAGACATGAATAGATAGCGAGGCATGAGAAGCAAGAGCAACAGACCGTCATCTGAGCTGTGTATATCTTGTATTCCAAAGGCTGCAAGGGATTTCTTCAAGAAATGCTTATAAATAGAAATCTCATTTGCAAAAATATTAAGATCCTGATTTTCAACCTGGCCTCAGCCTGGCATTTGTTTTTTCAAGCACAAAAATAATTTTGCTTCCTTAAATAACTATGCCTCCAATTCTATGAAGGTACAAACATTAGTTGCTGATAGTAATAGTAGTCAGTTATCTAACTGCTAATGTTTGTGCTTGTGGTGAGTTTGAACATGGCTATGTGAGTTTGAACATGTGCCTTTAACATCATACGGGGGGATTTCATAACTTTATGTTGCTACACACGTTTCACCAGGATATTACTGACGTGAATTATTTTTTTTCAAATGAGGCCTTACAAGGCATATTTTGTACAAAGATGATTACACTAGTGTGTAGGGTGTGAATACCAGGTGCACTCAGTCACAATGTTACCAGACCCCTCTGAGCCATCTAGTCCCCCATTTTAAGACTATAATGGAAATGCCACCATGCTCTCAAAATTGGGTTTTGTGAACATCTCTGCTTAGCTTTGTTTTTTAATTCCTGTACAGGTATTGGGGTGTCTCATAACTGCAGCAGCCTCATTTTCTGTGGAACAGGGCCAGAATCAGAACCTGAGACTAAAGCTGTGGCCAGATTTATAGAAAAAAGGAAAAGTGATGTTTTGTGCTTCTTGACTATTCACTCTTATGGACAGTACATTCTCACTCCCTACGGTTACAAAACCGATTTGGCAAGCAACCACCAGGATTTGGTAAGGCAACGGAACACGCTCCATGTCAGTGTGAAGGATTACGCTTGCATGAACTCTGTACATCTTGATCGTCGTCTTTGTGCTTAAGATCGATCTCATGTCTATGTAATATTGTACTCAGTCCCCCTTTGCCTCTCTTTCATACTGTTGTATTTACCATAGAAATTAGAGTATTTATTGGTATTGACTTGGCATTTGTCTGAAGGGACAGATGAGGTATCAAGAGGAAAAAAATCAGTAATAACTGTTCTTTAATGAACACCTGCAGCTTCCAGGGGGATGGGAAGTTTGCGAAACATTGAAATCTTCAATTTATTAATTTAGGTTTGCGTTCTCTTCTCAGCTCACAGTCTTATACATTGCTGTGTGGTGACTGCAAGTCTTTTTTGGCTGAACTAATCCTGATCCTTCATCATAACTAATTAGCAATTGATTATTAGGGATCTGATTACTGAGGGGTCGCCAGGATGTGACTGTTTTTCAAAACATCAAAATCCAGTGCCACGTGCAAAAAATGTGCCTGCCGTTTTATGTGCAAATGCATTTGTCTGCATGATTGCCACGACTGTGCCCACAAATGCCTAGTGTCTCGTGATAGAGGTTCAGGCTCAGTCCGGAGCCTGGGTTCTAGGACCTTGCAAGGTGGGAGGGTCCCAGAGCTCAGGCTGCAGCCTGAGCCAGAACATCTACACTGCCATCAAACAGCCCTTTAGCCCGAGCCAGCTGCCACGGGCCAACCATGGGTTTTTAATTGCAGTGCAGACATACCCTTAGTGTTTTAACATCAGGCCCTATATACTCAGTTAAAATGCGTGTTTATAAAACAGTCCGGCATTTATGGCACTAACCTTGGACTTGGGAGAGCTGGGTTCGAGTCCCTCTTCTGCCACAGGCTTTCTCAGTGACCTTGGACAAGTCACTTAGCCGCTCCGTGCCTCAGTTTCCCCTCTAGCATGGGGATAATAGCACTGCCCTACCATCCCAGGGTGTGGTGAGGATAAATACATTACAGACTGTGCGGAGGTCAGATACTGTGGTAATGGGGGCCCTATATGTACCATAGAGTGGTAGATAGTGATCTCTCTATCCATGCCACAACCACTCAGACCTCTGTTGACAGTGGAAGTATATTACTGAGATCCTCTTTCTCCAGTAGTACAGGTTCCTACCATTGCAATAAAGGAGTGTTTTTTAGCTGGACACATTTTCCCACCAGCTCTGATGTTGAACTAATAATTGATGCCCAAACCTGAACCCAGGGAGCTACAGAATCAAGCCTGAAACTCCAAATAGTTCATGTGGTTACCAGAACCAGTTAAGACTTTCTTTCCCTTTCAAACGTACAGGTGGAAGCTGCAGAGAAAGCAGCAGTCGCACTGAAGGAAAAGCATGGGACCAATTTTACAGTAGGACCAACTTCTTTGATTTTGTGTAAGTTTGTGTGTTGAGATTTCTCTATTTTCATGGGGTGAGCAAGGTAGTCCATGTGCCTTGTTCCTCGATATTGCTGTTTCATTGCGTTTCCACTTTGAGTAATAATGGAGAAGCTGGTTTAGATGAGTATCTAAGTTGTAGCCATTTGAATGTGGGATACTTTGTGGAGCCTTTTCATACATTAAACAGCTGACAGCATGGAGGATCAATTGGATGCTAATTCTTATATAGAACTCATCATGAGAGTATCACAGGGCACACAAGGGGATTGGTATGTGATATATGGTGAAATCCTGGTCCCTTTGGAATCAATGGCAAAACTCCTATTGACTTCACTGAAGTGATTTCACCATACCTATCAGTCAGCAGTTCAAATCCAGATCAGGTCTATAGTAACAATCAGCCATTATCATCTGGTGGTGGTTTGAGGTTCTGTGTGAAATAAGTTGGTCTCAATCTAGTTCCCAGTGGACAGGTGTCCATACCACGGCGAGCACTAGATGATGATGGCTGGCACTCTGATTGACAGTTTCAGTAGAGATCATGGAGACTCAAGTTACCCTTGACCCAGAGAGGTATTCCCTCCAAAGAAGGACTGAGTCACATTGGTGGGGTGGTGTAGCAGATAATATTCGCAATGAGTAAATTGACTGGCTCTAGCGAACACGAACACACACACACACACTTGTGTTTGTAAATTACACAGGCACAATGCCTGCATTAATTAGAGCTTGAGTTTCATGTGCTTTAGTGAATGCTTTGCACTGTCTTGAGTGTACACACAAGGTGTTTTGCTTGTGCAACGCTGGCATGTTTAGAAATTAGTGTGCTCTTGGGCCAGTGTTTGTTGTTACATGGAAAGCGGCAGGAGAGAGAGCTCCACAAGGCAGAGGAACAATGAGGTCTGGCCACAAAGAACAGTCAGGGATTTTTCAGGCTGGCACTAAAATGAATATAGCAGGAAATTCCAAATGGTATCAATGAAGGAAATGCAAAACCAGAACAAACCATGGTCCATCTAGCCCCATGTCTTGTCTCCAATAGTAGCTAAGGCCAAAGGCTTCAGAAGAAGGTATATGATCCCTTTAATGCATCTCTGGTTATCGGATAATACTCTCATATGAAGTGGTATTTTCCGTATGCAAGTTCTATAGAAAGATATTTAATGCAATCAAGTACTTCATATAGAACAAGTTTTCCCACTGTGAAGTATGGCTATCTATGGTATGATTATAGTGCTTGGTACAGGGATCTTGTAGCAATTTTGGATAAACTACGGCCAGGGTCATGTATAAAGAATGGTGCCTAATACATTTGTCTCACCTGTATTTTTAAATTCATAGACAAGAACTCTGGCTCCTCGCGGGACTGGGCTCACATGATTGGCATTCCATTCTCCTACACATTTGAGCTGAGAGACAAAGGTGCCTATGGATTTATTCTTCCGCCAGACCAGATCCAGCCCACATGTGAGGAGACTACCGCAGCTGTGATGACCATCATAGAATATGTAAATCAGAAGCACTTCCCAAACAGTGCAGTGGCAGTGACCTCTGGCAGCCTGTGGCTAGGGCTCAGTGTCCTATTCACATGGACCTTGTCCTAAGTAAGCCCTACAGAGCGCAGCAGGAAACTCACATGCAGTGAAAAATTGCATGCAAAGGAAAAATTGACATTACTGGGAAGCTAAATGGCATAGTGTTGAAATAAATGACCATTACAGTAAATGCAGAGAGTTCTCTGGTGTTCTGGGGGCTTTTTGGAGAAGGAGGAAAGGATAAAGAACAGGCTGTAAAATCAAGCCCTGCTCATCAAAACCAGTTGTAGAAGGTTAGGTTCCATTCCTTTGTTTAAATTAAGGCAAGCCCATATTAACTTCAAAACCCTTGCTCGCTGTCTCTGCAAGGCCAGATTGAATATGCATGGGGAGGAAATGTCACTTTTAGACATGGTCTCAGTGACTGCCTTACATCTACGCTTCCCTTTCTGCTAGGCGTAGCCCTGCTCTTCTCATGGTCCCCACACCACACTGGCCCACCAGCCAGAACCACTCATTTCCCACCCAGGGTTGGCACCAGCAGGCTGTATGAGATCTCTGACTGCCATCTCTGTTCTCACTTCAGTAAGGTGTGCTGCTGCTTTGATTCTTCTTGTCTTCCGGGCCTAAGAGAGTGCGGGGGGAGGGGCAGGGTGTTACAAGAAGCTGTGGTGCCTCAAAACCAGCTGGAAATCAGAAACCAAAGACGGTCACAAGCAAGCATAAGGGGTGCTGTGGGGGTGGGAGAAACTTGGTCCTGTCATTCTTTTTCAGGCATGTAGGCAAATAAATGAAAGACAGAAATCCAGCATTCTTGGTACATAACTACAAGAATGAAGGGAAAAATTATGGGATATTCCTATCTCCACAAACCAGGCTAGAAGGGGACTTCTTTACTTTATCAACCTGCAATGGTATTTTCCTGCACAACAATATGGGTTAAAAATATTTCTCTACAGACCGGGTTGCGATGAAATCCTTTAAAGTGCAGTATTTAAAGGGGTATACTCTGCAAAAGCAACTTTCTTAAAAACCATTTTGGGCTTCCAACTTGGCTTCTCGGTCACGCCATATCATTCTCAGTGAACAAGTACATGGGCCAGATTCCTAGCAGGCATAAATCAATGTAACTCCATTGGTTTCTGACAGTCCTGCAAACTCTCGCGGAGATTTGAAGCCAAGCAGAGTCTTTCAGTCTCAGTCTCTTCATCACCAGTAACAGTGTGTCAGCAGTTGAACAATTCTGTTGAACCAGAACAGACTCTGGTTGTCCAGCTGTGTTGACTGCAGGGTGAAAAAGTTGGGGTGGGGTGGAATAAACACCTGTTTTAGTCACTAAGGTAAGCCGATTGCTCACAGTATTCAGAGGCTCCGGTGTAGATCAGAACCCCTTGTAAGCTTAGTAGGGCTGGTCATTTTTTTTTTTTGTTAGAAAATGGGGTTTTCGCAAAACACTTCACTTTTTGGAGGGGGGGAACCTATTTTCCATGGGGGAAAAATCAAGTTTTTGTTGAAAATGGAAAATGCTTTGGATGAGAACTGAAAATTTTCATTTTAACTTAAAAAACATTTCTGGGGAAGAAAACTCAACTTTCTGACCACCTTCAGTGCTTAGTCCTGTGCAAACACACGGTAAGAAAGAGTTTCTGCCTAAAGAGTTTACAATGGAAACAGACAAAGGACAGGAGAATGGGAGTAGTATTAGCCCCATCTTACAGGTGGGGAACTGAGGCCCAGAGAAGCTAAGTGACTTCTCCAAGGTCATACAGGAAATCTGTGGCAGAACCAAGAATAGCACTCAGATGTCTTGAGTCCTAGTCCTTCGCTGTCCTTAACCACAAAACCATTCCTCTCTCTTAATCACAAGGCTGATCAGAGAGATCCCAGAGCCTTTCCTCCACACCGCATTTATAAGCATTTTAAAATCAGACTTTGTTGCCATTTTTCCAGAGCACATCAATGTAATTTTATTGTAAGTTTGTCTTCACTACCAGCCAATCAGTCCTCACTCCTGTGTTTGGTTTCTAAAGTCCATCATCAAATGGTGTAAGTAAGACTGACTCCTGCGGGTTCCCTAGAGCACAGCCCTTCCAATGTCAGGCATTAATTTACAGTGAGACGCGTCTGTCACCGGCTCAGCAGCAGAAGGTGGCACTAATTAGCTCTTCTCCCCGTAGGAACGCTGCTCCCCAAACTTACGTTTGTTTTAAGGTGTGACTTGCAAGTCTTTACATTTCGTTTGTAAATTGCGTCTTCGGAACATTAAGTGTCAGGAGAAGCCCCCATATCGCCCATCATCATGATCTGGCCTTAAACTATTGAGATCTGATCATAAGCAATCCATAACCTTTAGTATGCAAGATTTAGCACCGTTCCAACTGCATCCAATGCAATTGCCACTGCCAGCAGATGGCGCTGCACCATAGGAAGAGATGCCAAATGAGCTGGCCTCTGCCAGTTATTACAGAGGCATATTCTAAAATGAACCCAAGATTTCACAGATACGTTGATGTTCCCCGCAATTGCTTCTGATCAGATTCAAGTTCCTTATAAGGTCCTGAAAACTAAAGGGGAAATTTAAACTGCCGACATTTGGCGTCTTTACAAATGTCATAGTCAGATGTGTGTGAACCAGCAATTCCCTTCAAAAGCCAAATACAAATGGTTGCGTTGTCCAAAGCCCAATTAGCAGGTTTACCAGCATCCACTCAGGGTGCTTCATTATCTTCATTGAGATTAAAAATAATAACCCCCTGCCCAGAGGGAGAAGAACCCAGTGAAAGGCCTGGGCCATGGAATTCAACCACAGCATTTCCAACATGCAAGGGGGGAAGGAGGGTAAGGCACAGACAAAGCTTTGGAGCCAGTGCCTGTGATGTATCCCTTCTGTTGCATTCCTGTCAGCACAGTGCTGGTCCTTCTGTTGTTACAATGATGCCTCGCACACTGTGTAGTGTAAAGAGACCTCTGAAGGCTGTGGGGAAGAGTCCCATGCTGCACCCCAAATCAGACACTGTGCACAAGTGTTCACAGCGCATTTGGGGCGCCTCACGGCAAGAGTCAGCCACAGTCCCTAGAAGCTAGGGCTGCAGAAAACTGATCTGTAACAGCATTGTGTGAGGGTTTATATTTCGTCTCCACCTGCTCTTACTGATTTTTTTCATTTATTTTCTGTGCCTTTAACAGAATCCTTCTACACATTGGAGAGCTACACGGAGGACTGTATTCTGCAGGCGCTACTAGGTCAACCACAAATGGAAATTGTAAAGGAAAACAAACTCTCTAATCTTAACATCTCTCCTCTAACTCCCCTCCTCCGCCTGCTCCCTGAATCCTCTGCATGGCTTTGTCTTGTATTCCTTTGTTGCTTTTTCTTTGATTCTCTTTGAGTGCTGAGTGGTGTGGAGATACATTTTGATCTCATTTACGCTGGGGTAAGCATGGTGTAATGCCACTGGAATTGGTGGGGTTACTTTTAATTTACACCCATGTAAGTGAATCAGAATTTGGCATAGTGTCCCTGCTTAATTAAAACATAGAAGGTGTTATTCTTTATTGTGGTCCGCAAGATCATTTTTACACTCAGCCACTTGCTTTCTGACACGTTCTGCAGGCAAATCCTGCTTGCCTTATTCACATAAGTAGACTCACTGAAGTCATTTATTTGTAATTTTGGTCATTGGGTTATAACAGGGTGGCCAAAAATTTGATGGAGTTCGACAATATACTTGATAACAGCCCATTTTTAATACATAAGTAGACTGAACAAACTACGGGCCCAATCATGTGATACTCCATTTTCATCCAAGAGGCCTCTTTTAGTCTGCTCCATGCTATATAAATTAGTGCAGCCCAAAGGTTGCCAGCAAGTTCCCAATATGGCCCTTCTTCAGTAAAGTTAAGCTGTCTCAGGGGCAGCATAATATGAAATGAGTAATACAATGTGCAGCCCGCTTCCTAGGGGCAGCGGGAGAAGATGGAAAAAATAGTTTCTTGAGTGTTTGTGAAAAACATCTCTGTCCATTTTCCAGAGCTATTCAGATTGTCAGCAGCTATTTTCTGTTACACCACTTGGGCCCTAAACTCCACTCAGCTCTTATTCATTTGCGTAACCCAGGGGTTCCATCATAAGTGAAAACCGAAGGTTGGGCCTCACGCCCTGGATCTGAACACACCAGACTTTGCATCCAGATTGTATCCAGACTTTGCACCAGGGCTTCAGCTGTTGTAAGTCAGCGTAGCTGCATTGATTTCAATGGAACTATGTGGATTTACACGAGTTGAGGATCTGGTTCTTTGTGTCTCAGCCCCATCTAGTTCAAATTCTCCCTCCCCTAAGCTGATTGAGTGATATGCTCTTGGAATTCCGGACCGAATGGCAAAGGGCTGAATGGACCTGGAGACTAAACTGCTCTGAGTCAATTTTGAGTTCTCCTGGTGCTTGTAGCCAAGAGCACAACTCGAGAGCACTGTCTCGTCTCCTCCCCTTTGCTTTCTTTTGGCTTCTTTGGAGCTTAGTGCTTTTCTTGACCAGATGGGGAGTCCAATTCTAACATAAATAAAAAATAAAACGGAGCATATTGCTTCTACAAGACATGCTGTGCCCATGATTTCCTTCTATGGATATGACAGGCCAAAGCCAATTTATTTTCATTGCCACAAAGCTGGGGAGGGAACAGTGATAGAGAGGGAAAGAAATGGAGATCACATCCAAAATGGAGGCTCTTGAATTGCTACTAAACCCAGCTAGGTTACAAAGTTCTCAAGACACCCCTGAACGTTTGGATCTGGGATTTGCATTAGGTTGGGAGTCAATGAGTTTTTGCACCAGTCTCTCATTTCTGGAGACCTAGGTTAAGTCATGTGCTGAGAACACTCTTTAGTATTCATGTGTGCATAAGTGTCAAAACAAAGATGCTTCAACTGGTAGCACATGGACTGTACTCATGATAAAAACCATAGCTAGTAGACAGACTGGACCACAAATCTTTTAGACTCCTGGCCTCAGGGAAGAGTAGTTGAGTCTTTCCTATTAGTATTTCTTTCTTTCTTGGGGTGGCTGATTTCTT